GCCAATCCTATACTAGCACAAGGCTGCAGGGGATCCAGGTACCACTGGTACCGGTACTGGCTTCTTATACCAGTACTGGCTTCCCTGCTAGCTGGCTCAGTAACAGCTGGTGGCTGCCGGTGGGTCCAGGACCCTTCGTAACACCAGCATAGGGCTGTTGGCTGGCCCAGGTCCCCCAGCAAGTCCTATTCTAGCACCCAGCTGCAGGGGATCTGGCTCCCACTGCCTGCTAGGTGGTTCTGTAACAGCTGGGGGCAGCTGGTGGGTCCAGGACCCTCCCTAGCACTAGCATGGTGCTGCAGGATAGCCCTGTTTTCCCCCTCTCTCCCCGCTGATCCTCTACCAGTACGGGGCTGCCAGGAATCCAGGTCTCTCTGGTAGTGGTACTAGCTTCTCCACTAGCTGATTCTGTAACAGCTGGGGGCTGCTGGGAATCCAGGACCCCTGATCCTATACTAGCACGGGTTTGCAGGGGATCCAGGCCCCGCTGGTACTGGCGGGTAGTACCGCTGGTACTTCTAGCCTGTTCTGTGATAGCTGGGGGCTGCAGCTGGGTCCAGGACCCTGCATAGCACCACCATGGGGCTGTGGGCTGGTCTCATTCTCCCCCTAGCTGATCCTATACCAGCACTGGGCTGCCGGGAACCCGGGTCCCACTGGTACCAGCACTGGTTTCTCTGCAAGCTGGTTCTGTAACAGCTGGGGGCTGCCAATGGGTCTGGGACCTTCCCTAGCACCGACATAGAGCTGGGGGCTGGCCCAGTTCCCCCAGTTACTTCTATTCTAGCACCGAGCTGCAGGGGATCCAGATCCCGCTGATAACAGTACTAGCTTCCCCGCTAACTCGTTCTATGGAAGCTGGGGGCTGCTGGCCCCATTCCCCCTAGATAAGCTTATACTAGCACTGGGCTGTAGGGGATCAGACTCGCACAGGTACCGGTACTGGCTTCCTCACGAGCTGATTCTATAATAGCTGGGGGCTGCGGGTGGGTCCAGAACCCTCCCTAGCACCCGCATGGGGGTGTGGGCTGGACCTGTTCCCCCTCAGTTGATTTTATACCAGCACTGAGATGCGGGGGATCCAGGTACTGGTACTGGTTTCCCTGCTAGCTGGTTCTGTAATAGCTGGGGGCTTCCCTAGCACCAGCTGCAGGCTGGTGGGATTCCCACTCTAACTGATCCTATACTAGTACCAGGCTGCAGGGACTCTGGGTCCCCCTAGCTCGTTCCGCACTGAAGCCAGGCTGATACTAGTTCCCTGCTAGCACCAGCATTGGACTGCGGAGGTTCCCCGCTAGCTGGGTCTGAAACAGCACAGAGCTGCAGGCTGAACCATTTCTCCCAGCTACTCCTATTCTAGCACTGAAGTGCAGGGGATCTCGGTCCTGCTGCTACTGGTACTAGCTTCTCCACTAGCTGGTTCTGTAAGAGCTAGGGGCTGCAGGTGGGTCCAGGACCCTACCTAGCACAAATATGGAGCAATGAGCTGGATCAGTTTTCCTCCCCACAACTGATCCTTTACCAGCACCAGGCTGCAGGGTACCTGGGGCCCACTGCCAATGGTACTGGCTTTCCCGCTAGCTGGTTCTGTAATAGCTGAGGTCTGCTGGTGGGTCCAGGACCCTCCCTAGCACCAGCACAGGGCTGCGGGTTAGTCCAGTTCCTCCAGCTAGACCTATTCTACCATCAAGTTGCAGGGGATCTAGGTCCTGCCGGTACCAGTACTAGCTTCCCCGCTAGCTGATTCTGTAATAGCTTGGGTCACCAGGTAGGTTTGGGATCCTCCCTAACACCAGTTCTCCTGCTAGTCCTATATTAGCCCCGGTCTGCAAGGGATCTTGGTTTCCCCACCACCATCATCCCCAGTACCGGTTCCTTGCTCCTTGGTTCTGCTCCAGCTTCAGGGACTCTGTTCTCCCTAGCTAGTTCTGTACTAGCCTGAGTCCATGCTAGTGCTAGCACCAGGCTGCAGGGGGGCCCCTGGGATCCCCCATACTAGCTTTGCCACTAGCTGGCTTTGTAGGTGAGTCTGAGTCCCTCCGAAGCACCAGAGCACAGTGCTGTGGGATGGCTCAGTTCCCCCCAGCTGGTTCTGTAAGAGCCCAAAGCTGTAGGTGGGTTTGGCTGCCCCCTGGTATCAGCTAGTGGAGAATCCAGTACTGGCTCTGTAACAGCTGAGGGCTGCAGGTGGATCTGGGTCCCTCTGTAGCAGTAGCCCTGGGCTGGCCTGGTTCCCCCCAGCTTACTGTATACTTGCACAGGGCTGCAAGAAACTGGGTCCCTGCTAGACCCAGCAGAAGGTTGTGGGGGAATCCTCTACCTGCTCCCTGCCAACTGCCTCTGTATTAGCACAGGATTGTGGGGTGAACCCAGCTGCCCCCAGTACCATCGGTCTGTCCTAACCAGATCCTGGTACGGGCTACCAGCCCGCAGCTGCAGGGGATCCAGGTACTGGTGGGTTTCCCCCAGCTGGTTCTGTAATAGCCCAGAGCTGCAGGTGGGCTCAGTTCCCCCTGGTACAGGGGTTTCCCCCTAGCTGGTTCTGTTGCAGCACTAGCCTGCAGGCTGTCCCTTTCCCCACTAGCTGGTCCTATACTAGCACAGGGCTGCAGGGGCCTGTACTAGCCTGAGTCCCTGCTAGTACTAGGACCAGCCTGCAGAGGGGTCCCTGGGATCCCCTGTACTGGATTTTCCAGTAGCCAGATTTGTATCAGCATGGGCTCTTGGGAAGCCTGGTTTCCTGCCCCTCCCTACTTCCTTTCCCCGCTTCCTGCTG